AACTGTTTGCTTCGATAATTCTAACTTATGAGTTTGTAAAATAAATTTGAGAGTAATTTTATTATAATCTTTCGAATCTCAAATGTTTGAAAGTTTATTGAAATACCATTATATTTAATTTATCACAAAATTTTATTATTGTATAGCAAATTTGATAAAATATTATATGAATATATACTTCAACAAGTGGATAGACAATTTCATTATAGATTTGTTCGGCTGTAGCATCGATATAATAAACACCATCAAATGTAAACTGTTTTGGACAACCGGTTTCACCTTGTATTATTACTTGCCCACAACTTTGATCCATTTGTACACATATCTAAATTTCAAAATTTTTATTTCAAATCTCCAAGAAAAAATGAGAAAAAATGGAAACTCCTCGAAGCATATGATTAATTAAGCATATGATTAAACAAAGTCATTGAAATAACTTTTACGCTTAATATGTATATATTTGTCCAATTTATTGTTTTGGATTGCTATGAAAATATATGCATATATTACTAGCAAGATCAAAAAATCACACCTAATGGCTAATATTTATAGCAAAAAGTTATTTTAAACAAAACAAATTTCAAAAAAAAAAAAAAAATGAGAAGTTTGAAATTGGAAAAGAAAAAAAAACAAAATCAAAAGAGAAGTGTAAAGTTTTTTTATTGCTTAATAATTAATAAATAAGAATTTCAACATTTTCAACTAGTTTTTAATCCAAAACTTCTTTTAACCTTTAGAAGAAGAATAAAGATTATATGCATATATACCTATTACACCTGTTAAAATTAAGCAATAATATAAACATATGTTAATTAATCATATAAATTTATAACAAAGACATTTTTCAAAATATAATTCAGTTGTTATTTGTTGTAGAAAAATAAATCTAACTGATTGAGAAAAATAATTTGAACAAAGTTCTGATTACCTAAAAAGCAAAAAAAGCAAAATTTGGAATCTGATTGAAATCCAAGTTATAAATTCAATGATATATAATTCATCAGCTATTATATCTTAAACGTCCTTTATCAGTCTTCAAATTCTTGAAATTTGAAATTTCTTTTTGTTGAAATTGAAAAAAATCAGTAAAATCTCCTCAAAGTGAATTCGGAATTTTGCATACATTTTAACTTCCATCTTTCTCTTGCAAAAAAAAAAAAATCAACGATCAAAAGAAAAATATATCCGAAAATATTTTATCATAAATATTACATTATTTATTAAACAAACAAAACAATAAGAATACAAATGAAGACGTACAAAA